CGGCACTCGACCGATAAGCATAATAACACGTTTACGGAAATTTTACACCTGCTAATATTCGCGAATAATCGGCGATAAGTGACGCACACGGAGATGCACTTCATGATCTCTTTCTCTCTCTCTTTCTCTTTCTCTTTCTTTCTCTTTTTCTTCCTCTCGATGAAAGACTTCATCGCTTTCACCCTGCATTGCGAGCAATTTTATATAACCTTCTGGTAGTACTAAATGCCAACATTGCCTAATTATGGGCACATTTTTCCTTAAATATCAGATCAAAGTACTGATATTACATTAATGTTTTCAAGATAATTTCTAAAGAAGTGAAACGTACGTGATTGAAATGAAAAAAAAATTCGAGATATAAGATTAAATTTTATATTAAAAATCTATATATTTCTTTGTGCATTAATATTATATAAATCTTCCATATAAATATAATAAATATAGTATGTAATATAATAAAAGTTTATATTATTGTAAACTCGGAAGACTATATAAAGTACGTTTATATATAAGTAAAATTGTTAATCAGTTTCTAGGCAACACTCATATCTAAAATATATCTTAAAGACTTTATCGTGAATATCGTGATACATGTATAAATATACAATACATATTTACTCAATGTTCTAGTTAACAAGGACATTTAATTGCTCTACATTCCCTTTGCGTAATCACTCAGTAAATCTGTTTAGGATATCTAAGACTGTCTCTCTTTGCTAGCCTAAGGACATTGGTAACATTCAACCGTTTCCGAAGGTCCGAGAGGCTACGAAGCGTGGGGAAAACAAGCAGAACTGGTCTCGCGTGCGTTGTATTAAACTACGCAGGATCCTTCGATCCGATCGGCTTGACTCGCAGTAATAATTCTCTGTTCTGGCGTGAACGATCTTTGCGAATGCTTCATCGCAAGGGTTAAAGTTCTTGATAGGCTACCGATGTAAATTGCTAACAGTTAAACTACGCGAAGAAAGAAATGAAGATTGTACGTAGAATCTCTCTTGCCTCTCAGGTTGAATGTACAATTTAAAATGCTAGGATAAAATATGAAAGTACGACATGTAATAACGGATTGGTGTACACTTTGAAAACAGATGCAGGGAAAGGTGGACACCTTCCTGTCGTGCTGTCCTCCTGTCGTGATTCCTATTCATTCATTTTGCATTGCAATCCCTTTGTCCATTAATGTTAATACACAGGTTACTTTGGGTAAATGCAATACATTCAAGTAGTTTAATTGCATTGAATACGTTTCCGCAAAAGATTTTTTTATTAGAAGAAAATAGAGATTTTAAATAGAATTTTATTTTTATAAGCGAGCTACTTCAATTTCCTATCGTATTCGATATGTAGGTATATGTTCGATGTAGTTTCCGTTCTTGTGCAATTAGTACACAATACTCGAATGAATTGTGTTCTACAGTTTCATAGCAAGTACACGTTGCGTCATAGAGTAATTTGATTTTGACCGAATCGCGGGTGTGCATAGATAATGCTGAAAAGTTACGCAAGATTCCGTCGCGATTGCGATCAAGGTGAAAGTCTTCGAGCTCGGTAGAGCGAGACTTAGTGGTATCAGCAGGCGAGTCCCGTAAATTATAGGCAATGTCGTTGGAGAATGTCCTTTAACGACGAGCATCAAGGAGCCTTTTCTGCTTCGAGGATAATCGCGTGCTTCTCGGTGGACTCGCGCGTTTTTCATTGTTTTTCATGGCACGGTCCAGCAGCGATACGGATTCGTTCCTAGCGATTTTCTCGCCACAGTGTGTAGATGTCTATCCCGCGAGCCTCCAGGACTTTTAATGTACAATTATCTCGCGTTTATATCTGCGGGCGCAAATCGAGTCGCCTCGCACATGCACGACTTCTAGGCAGATTAAGTATAGTGCGTCACGCTAAATTTCACGGCAAGCTGAAATTTTTATCCTAACCGGAGAATATCATTTTTCATGTGTAAAGGATATTTTTACAAAGCGAGTGGCTGCCTCTGTAACAAGTTCTATTTTAAGATACCTTCACTTAAAATGCATTTTAAAAGATTATTAAGAATTTATAAAGATCTATAAATAACTCTCAACTATAACTATAAAAACTATACTTAAATTTCAAGTCTTGTTTGAATTACAAAATGCAAGAATTTCCGTTTTACAACGATTGATAAAGAGAGATTCAAAATTTTTTACCAATTTAGAACACCAATCTTACAGATTGTATAACCATTTAAAATTTTCAATTCGAGTTCAAATCATTGCTATAGTATATATCGAAAATTAATCCAATATGAAACAATTTATAATTCGCGCTAAATTACAAAATGAAATTTTATTTAAAAAAATGAATAAGAGGTACATTTTATTATGTTAAATCGCATGACATTTTATACTACTTCCTATATTTAATTATAAGTCTTCTCCTGAGAAACCAGAAATACCGAACGGCACTTCTACGTCATTCTGACTGCACTTTTTTCACGAACGTAAAACGCTTTCACTGAAATGCGCAAGATTCGTTGAATATTTCTGTAGCAAAAACTTACGCGTAGTATTATGAAATAAGAACGACATAGTAACAGTGACAAAATGTATAGTTAACATTGTTCAAATAAAGAAGAAATTAATTCAACGAGAATTTAATTCATCACTTTTGAGATAATTATACGTTGGGAATATTTTATGATGAGAGGAAGTTGATAATAGAGATTGTAAATTCTGCATGATTGTTGTCACATTAAAAATATCAATACTAACGTTGAAATTTATTTCAACACGTTTCTTAGCAAGAATTTGTTTTTTAAAATATATATATATATATTTGTAAAATTATAAAAAATAAAAATTTTCTATTATATAATTTCCATCGGTTATTTTTTTCCCAATAAATACATAAGATAAAAAAATAAAATAAAATACAGAATGAATAAAAAAGATTCTGCAGCAGTCAAGTTAATATTTATTGCTCGTTCAATAGCAGTATGACTTAAGGCGTCTTCTGAAGCGAATTTTTATTAAGAGGAAGTTTCACGCTTGGAGTATTCGAGAGTGAATCTTCGCGGTTACACGGTTTCTCAGGTTGAAAAATGTTAATATGCTACTGTCTCCGTGAATTATGTCAGAAGAAGATCGTGCACAGAATCGACCCGGGTGAGTGTCGAGCTCCTTCCTCGGAAGGACTCCTCGCATTGGCTCCGGGGTGAATCAGTCCTTTGTGCCGGGCACTCTCAGGGTCAACCACTTTCGGTGCAGTATATACCTCCGACGGTTTATATGTACACTCGCAAACACACTCGCCCGACCCGAGCATGCCTATAGGGTATCCTGAAAGTCGCCGCGTAGCCAACAGTCAAGTACCACTGAGCTAGCTAGGTATTTTCAAACTGATTCACTGCCTCTTTCGACTTGCCACATCTTCTCGAAAGCATGAGATAAGATTTAATCCGTGCAACTAGAAATCATACTTTTTGCAGAATTAACTTTGAACATGTACATGGAATTTTCGAAATATTTATTACTATACCTACGGAAACGCAAAAGAGTAAATCCAATATTACTTCTTTAGAAAAACATATGTAATGAATCATGCAATAGAGCCAAGTGACTTTTAATCTTTTCTCAATCCGATTAAAAAACTGATTAAAAAACATGAAGTTCGCGTTCTTTTATATAGAACAAAAAAAAATTGTGTTGTTAGACAACCTTGCTTCTTCTTCTGACTTCAGAATCGTTACTCGATGTCTATTTTATGTAAACAGATTAGAGTGACGCGATGTATTATATAACATCGCGATGTACGCATCCAATCGCATCCGTAACTATACCAAATAATGCTATGATGGAAAAAGCTCTCGTGCGCATCAATCAGCAAAAAAAACCAAGCAGCATTCTGTGCGTTAAGCACGCGCTCGTTAGAGCACGCGCATTCAGTCGTTTCTTAAACGTTTGAGGAGATTCATTTCGATTGAAGTGGGTACTTCGAGAGAAACGACGATGTTTTCCATATTGTCGAGTCTGGCGGCAGTTAGAAGGGGTTGAACCCCGCTGTTCCTTTTTCTCTGGTGATCCTGGAGTTTATTGGCTCGACGCCGTTCAAAGTCGAAAAAATAAATCAAATAGACTGCTATAGCGAGGGACCGAGAATGGCGGGAGATTCGCAGGAAACGCACGGAGGAAGAGATGAGAATGAAAGAAAGAGAGACAAACAGAGAGAGAGAGAGAGAGAGAGAGAGAGAGAGAGAGAGAGAGAAGCGCAGAGAACTATGGCGAATTCATCTTTGCCAGCGACAGAGGATGTTTCTCACGAAATTTCTCATCGCGAGCCTTTAATTCGCTGCTGATTCACTCATGACGTCTTGCAACGCAAGCGAAACAATCGCGATCGATGCGATCAGACCGCAAACATCTTCCTTCTCTTTTAGCGATCCTTCACTGCGATTAAGTCAGCGTTAAGAGGTAATTGATTTTTGCGTTCAACAAACAGGTTCGATAAATTGTTTCGCGAGGATATCGATAGAATACACTGGCGAGACGTCTCTCTCACGCTTCTCGCATCTCCCTCGCCTATCTCGTGCGAGAAATACAAATCAGCCTCTATCGCTGATGTCATTGGCACAGATCTACTTTAGTCGATGGTTAGGCTGATGGACTATTTTATCCAACAGTCTAGAATATCTCCAAAAATTCTAGAATAGCTCTGAATAAAATGGAATTTAAGTAGATTTGTTCGATTATTCGTAACTTGACCTGCAACCTTGATGAGAAGTGCAGTAAGAGTTGAATAAATTTGGTAGAAAAAGTTGGCGAATCAAAAGTTAAATTAATTGTTTATATTGACGTAGGCTGGATGTCGAAATGTGATCGCTAAAATAACGTGTTAACAAATTTACTGCTTTTTAACTTTTTGTGACATCCATTTAATAAAATGAATAATCTAATAATAAGATTGTAACAAGACTATAAAGTTTAACGACGAATGAGTGATACATAAATCTGGCAATTTGATTACAGAAACGAGACGCATGACAGACGACACCAGGTGGGCGTTATCAGGTGAGGGTTTAGCAGCTTTCGGCGACGCGATCGAGAGATGTCGAATGCCGCCGGCACGGATAATCCGGCATTCGCCAACGAAGACGAGTGCGTTAGCGGTTCCAAGTTGGAGAACGGCGGTCAGCAGCAAGCGGCCTCGAACCAGGATCGCAAGTCCTCAGCGGACAGTGCGCCGGTAGAAAATGGCCACCAACAATCCTTCATCTCCCAGCACTACGTCGAACCCATTAAGCCGAGCTCGGAGCCATGTTATAAAACGGAAACGAGAATTGAGGTGCCGGCCGATAACACGGAGAAGACCGTGCCGGAACCGAAGCTCAATGGCGTCCACGGGAATGGCAATAATAATGACGCGAGTTTCCTTAACAATAGTGCTACGAGCGTACAAATCAACGGTGAGTTCACAAATAATATCACGTATACGATATCCCGCTATATATGGAGGGCTTGAATACGTTATATGAATACCTATGAACTTAAAACATTATGAGTAAGGGCATTTGATAAGATTAGAATTAGAAGTAGTCGCGCTTCTAAAAGACCGAGTTAACTGTACATTTCTAGTCACGTAAATATAATGTATAAATAGAAAGAAAGGCACCACAAGAAACCGCTATAGAAAAGCTTATTATCTTCCATTACCGTCACCCGTAGGACACGATTTCAGTAAGAGCGAAACTTTTAATCGTTAATTACCGGCATTACTACCGGTTTGTAGAGAAAAAGTCGTTCATGGCCGATAAAATCCCAGGAAGTATCGCATCCGGGACTTTTCATGGTGGATCCGTTGTCACGATTATTAACATGTCTTTCTCAATCTCGCGCGTTTTAAAGTAACAACAATAATTTCAAGTATTCCTTATCTAAATTAAATTAAACCGTCAATCTCTTCCTCTCATTAATTATTTGTTTATGTACCTCTTATTAACATACAATATCCTTATATTTCGTGCGAATTTGCTTCTCTCGTTACGCTGTGCATGCAGCAGGAAACTCGGCCTTGTTTAGTCACATTACTATTTCGTGGAATGCGGTTTCTCCGCTGTTTCGTATGTGACCGGAAAATGAAAACTGGTTGCACCATACGCGTGGATGTATACCTCGATGGTAAACGGTTTCCCGTTTTCCCATAGACTCCGGAAAGAAGGAGCAGATCGAGGCCGTAAATCTGGAACTGGTCTCGATGAGGCCATACACGGGCAACAATATTCAGACAAAGGGTCAGGAAGCCTGCGAAGTACCAGCTGATCCTTATGAGGAGTACTTCGTGCCGGTTAACGAGCATCGAAAGTACATCAGGTAATGAGTTATTTGTCAAAGCGACCGTATCTCTGACGCTTATATATTCTTTATTTATTCTTTTCATTTCTGGTTCCGCCTTCTAACTCTTATTTAACTATTTTTCATAAAAACCAGCCGAATATGCGAAAATTCTTCCGGATTTTAAAAACAGGGTACAAGTTCAGAAAAAAGAGGAAAACGTACGTCCTTATAGGATCTTCCAAATATATATGTATATATGTACCGGATATTATGATCGTTTTTAAACAAAACTTTTTGTTATTGCTGTCAGATTTACAATAGAAGATCATTTTTGCAAATACAAAAGTTGTATTGCGCATGACAAAAAGTTAACTACGTTACGAAAAACGAGAGTGTTTGCTATATAAATTAAACATACCAACACTATCCCGGCGCACAATACATACATCTCAATATCCATTTTAGAATAATCGTACTGTTAGCACTATGTATGTCATAGAATTACGGTGAAAACATCTAGAGAGAGAACATGTGAGTAGGATAGAAGTATATTTCCTAGAAAGAAGCGTACAAGTATTCCATTGCCGAGGGAATTGTCAGGCGATAGAGATATCTTAGCACCGTTTTTAGCTCCAGCCAATAGCACATAGAGCTTGGACAAGCTGCTGATCGAAAAGCCTCACATAGAGTGTTAGACGGTGTTTTCTGTTGTCACGGTACTTAGCAGGGGTCCCGAGGCCGAGGTTGAAACAACCGTAGCTGGAGTGCGTTTTGATTTGGGCCCCGGTGTCGGCCGCGAGGGACTCAGCCTGAGAGATCCCGCCGCCGGATTGGTCGACTATTCCCACTGGCTGACAGCCCTCAGGTACTTGACGGATGTTTTCGAGGGAAAAAAAAAAAACAAAAAATACAGCTGGGAACTGTCTTAGTGGAATATACTTTAGGTATCTCTTAGGGGCACGCGGTCGCGTACTAACACGCTTATGCTATTCCCCCCCGAGTCGAATCAAATACGAAAATTTCTTCGTAAAAATTGCACGTCCAAGAATTTACCCTTTGTTTCGTGTCCTATCGATACCGAGACGGCTTCTCCAAATAAGAGAATCGATAACAATATGGATGACAAAGATCGACACAAATACTGCTGCTATAAACATACGTAGGAATCACCGTTGATTAACTGATCAGGATTAATCCCGAAATGTAGTACCGTAAACCAATCAAAACGCAAACCAAATCTCGCGACACGTTATTATTGTTCTCAAAATCTAATCGGAGATACTTAAGCAAGAAATGCGCGCAGCAGGGACGCTACACATATTGGTATATGATCCAGAGTTTAGGCATTAGACTGGGTGCGACCAAGGAAGCTTCTAATCCCATAGACTGGACATTGACGAAGGTTGCTAGGAATCGCATTACATGCGCAACGCTGTATAAAATACGCTTTTTGGGTTTAGGACAAGAAAGACATTACATGCGATAGATTCATGTCTCTATGTGACAACGAAATTGTGTTGCAGGGGCGAGAAACTTTACGTTACGAAGGACAAAAGGTCTAGAAATTCATACTGGAGAAGAATGGCCTGGGGATGCGCGCTGTTGGTTATAGTAATTGCTGTAATCATCGCCATTTTGGCCGCAAGTAAGACGGGTTATTATTCTTTTAACTTTACAAGATATATATCAATAACAATATCCCAATAACATAATATATAAAAAAAATATACTATCCATATAACAATATAAAAAAAATATTATACATGTATAAAATAAATTAGACACTTTATAAATATATAATAAAATTGCTCCAAAATAAAAATGTTGTGTCTTTATTTTAGCTGGTGTATTTCCAATACCGGCTACAGAACCCTTAGAGAACGTGGAAGCAAATAACACACGCCAATTTAACGAAGTGCAGACGGCTGGAAGTCGAGAATATGTGAAGGATCCGCCATTAAGTCCACCACCTTTAACTTCGACTTTTCCACCGTGGCCTACAACTGACGAAACGTTATTCGATATTGTACCAGATGCTCTGGATGGAACTTTGAGACTAGATGATTTTAACTGGAATGACGATTTTAGTGACATCAAATCTCGAGTATACAGACAAGTAAGCTCCGAGATAGAGGAGCATCTAGGGAACATTCTTCGACAAGCGGGCAGCACGTCTATAATCACAGTATACGACATCAATAAGGAAGGAGAAATAAGATTCAGAATAAGTCATCCACCTCGGAATGCACCTGAAGAGAGTCAGGAATACATCGAAGATGTATTACGAAAAAATGGTAATATGATCGGAGAATATCACTTGAACAGACTTCATGTAGGAAAACTTATCGATCAATGTGAATATGGCAATCTCGAGTGCACCGGAAACTGTAAATACGATTATCCTTCTGGCATATTTGTATGTACCTGCAAATTAGGAGAAATATTGCATCATGATGGCAAAACTTGTGTGGATGATAGCGATTTGAGTAATGTCGAAATGGATGATGTAATGCCACAATCTACCACGGAACCAATTGATGATTTTCAAGGTAGAAGCAGAGATCCAGGCGCAATAAACTTTGAACCTAGACATCCCAATACTTGGAAAAATACGGACTTCAAAACAGGTTCGACAGAAACAGACACATCAACGGCGAAATCTAAAACAAAATATGTTAATCCTGAGCAATCTGACATATCAATAGAACAGCAGACCGAATTTACACCAACGACGAAACATTCAGTTTTCGAGAATGATGATTCTCATTGGAATCATGAATATGTACATCATTCGAAGGAAACCACCATCGAAGCAGGGCCTCCCATCAAAGTCTCCCAAGAGTCTTCTGCTAAACTAGAACCTACCTCTGAACCAGAACCTACAATTGAACCAGAATTCAGTGCTGAACCAGAACCTAATGCTGAGCCAGAACCCAATGCTGAACCAGAACCCAGTGCTGAGCCAGAACCCAGTGCTGAACCAGAACCCAGTGCTGAGCCAGAACCCAGTGCTGAGCCAGAACCCACTGCTGAGCCAGAACCCAGTGCTGAGCCAGAACCCACTGCTGAGCCAGAACCCAGTGCTGAGCCAGAACCCACTGCTGAGCCAGAACCCAGTGCTGAGCCAGAACCCACTGCTGAGCCAGAACCCAGTGCTGAGCCAGAACCCACTGCTGAGCCAGAACCCAGTGCTGAGCCAGAACCCACTGCTGAGCCAGAACCCAGTGCTGAGCCAGAACCCACTGCTGAGCCAGAACCCAGTGCTGAGCCAGAACCCACTGCTGAGCCAGAACCCACTGCTGAGCCAGAACCCACTGCTGAGCCAGAACCCAGTGCTGAGCCAGAACCCACTGCTGAGCCAGAGCCTACTATTTCACCAGAAATTACTGTTACACCAGAACTCACCGTTAAACCAGAACCAGAGCCTACACCTATATTATCCGCTGCTGTACCAAATCCTGCTTCTGAATTAGAGCCTACTGCAAAACCAGAAATTGCTCCTGAAATCGAATTTACTATTGAAGCAGAATCAATTACTGAAAGAGAATCTACTGCAAAATTAATACCTGTTACAGAATCAGCAACAACTATTAATGAAACAGATAGTGAGGTAAAATCAAAAACGGAATCGCAACATTTAACAACAGAACCGTATTTGAAATCAAAAACTGACATATCTGATCAACCTGAATTTTCTGTTAAACCGATATCTCATGATGATACTTCTGAATCATCTACACAGACATCACCTTCGGACGATGCTGGTACAACTAATGTATTCAAATCTCTTATTGAATTAACAGATAAAAACGATTATTCCAAAAACAATGAAACTCCTATCACAACTGTAAAGTCTAATGAAAATCCAACAGACAATGATACACCTTTACAGATAATACCTTTAACATCTAAAGATATCAATGATAATGTAAATACTAAAACAACAACAATACAATCTTATGGTAAGAATGAAATTACTGAAAGTACAATTATCGAGGCCGGTCTTACTACCTTAGATTATAGAGATTTAAAACAAAATGGTGATGTAAATGTTATAGCAACCAAATCTGAGAATCATGCGGAATCAGTCACAGAACAATTTACACAAAATCCTAATCTTCAAGAAGATAAAGAAAATGACTCTACTACAAAAACAAATTTTGATACGAATTTAAGTAATATCCAAAATGATAGTTCTGCGGCTAGTGGACACGATTTAATAACAAAGCAAAAATCAGACATTGATTTAAATGTTTTTGAACAGGTTAGTTTAACTACTGCAGCAACTACTGTGCCAGTCACATCAGTAGAAGAAAAGACAGAATCGACTACTAAATTCATCAATAACGATAGGCATTCATCGACAGGACATATCCATACAATAGAAATAAATGGCGTAAATAATAGGAACCCAGAAACAAATAATTATACTAAAGTACACGAGACAACTACGATACCAGAAACTACTCCAATTAACATATTTACTCAGCCAATACTTGGATATCGGGAAGAACTTGTACCCGAGCCCGCATTGCAACCAAATACACCAGATTCAAACGAGAAAAATGTCATTGAACATATGCCGACAACGATCTTCCCTAAAGTACCGGAAAATTTTGCTCACAATGTCGAGCCACTCAGGGAACCTATCATGAAATCGGCGGATGACGAACATATCATGTTGATACCAAAATCCGAGCAACCAGTAGAGATACACGCGATAATTCCAGAACTCATTCCAGAACAAGCCACAAATAAATCTCTAAAAGCAGAAAATTCGACAACAAAAGAGAACAAATCTGTAGAAGGTACAATCTCTATCGATTCATCTACAATACATACTAATGAGAATATCGTTCTTGCGAGCAATAATAAACATGCGGTACGCCCTGATGAAATTCAAGAACATTTAACGAGTCACCCTCTTCACCCGGCAGTATTTCCAGAAAATTCGGTAGATCATTTTACAGGGAAGTCAGACGATCGACCGGCTGAGGATATGTCACCATTCTTACCGGACGTTCATAAAGAAAAGGAAAGTCTAAAGAAGCCACGCTTAGATAAGGACGAGCAAGATGGTCCTAATCCCTTTGAAACTCATATCGATGATGTTATAACGCATCGGCCATTAACACGTAATAATGCAGACAGAGTAAATGAAACTGAAACCAAAGATTTATTAATTGACGTTAATTCCAAGAATAACGAAGAGAAGGTAGATATCATAAAGAAAATCACACAGAATCATGAAATAAATACGACAAATGATGTAGACAACAGCACAAATACTAACAATACGGAATCTAAGATTCTGAACGCATTACATCAAACTAATACAGCGAAATCAGTCGACAATGATGGAACAAAAGGCATTACAGATCAAGAAAATGGCGGTTTCTCCGAAGACAAAGAATTGAAAGTGATCCCATTGGCAGTAGAAAATAAATCAGTAGATTCAATTTCTCAAACTACACTGCAACCTATAGATAAGAAAACGGAACCTGAAGTTGTAACTTCCGCTGGAAAGAAAGTACAAGAAATTGAAGGTATCACGATAGAAAGCGGTGTAACAAGTTCAGAGAAACCAGAAGAAAACGCTGTCGAAGATCATTACAATGACATTACGGATGAGGCTTTGTCAAAAGGATATCAGCACGATAATACCGGCATTCCAATTAAAGTTATAGAATCATCCAAAAAAGCAGTTTTAAAAAATATTGACCCTATAAAAATTTCTTATGATCCTTATTCGTCGATAACTACGTTCGATGTCATAAAGAAAAAAAACGGAACGAATGAAAAGATATCTTCTGATACGACACAAAGTTCGATGGTTACGAAAACCGATGAAGCTGTAAACAATCAAATGGAAGATGGTAGATTGACTACACAAGAACCTGTGTTGCCTATAGAAATTCAACAGGAAATGTCCACGACAACCGACAAAGTTGAAATCACGACTGTAATCAATAATGGAAAACATGAAGAGAACAATACGGAATCACCGAATGTTGGTCAATCCGACGAGAAAGAAACTGTTACAACACAAATAACAACAACTCAAGCCACACTGGAAACTAAGACTACAGCTCAGATCCCAATCTTGCCTGAGGAGCTGCAAACGACAGAAAGTGATATATTATCAACAACATTGAGTGAAGAGGTACCGAGTGTAGACAAGAAAACGGAAACTGCTGATAAAACAGTTTCAACGGATGATGCTAACAATGCAACGAAAAAAAATGAAGCAGAGAAGGAGAGTGCTGTTACACCCAGCAACGTAATGGATACATCGGAAAGAAGCATGGCAGCGACAACAGTGTACGAGAGTAACGTCAGCTTAGGAACTGGCCGGAAAATAGAATATGATAAAAATGGGCAGATAATTGAAAGTGCGACGGAAAGCATAAAAATTGAGACTACTCCTATGATATCCACGATAGAAAAAGATATTGCAGATGGCGTAGAAGGAACCTCACCTATGCCTAACGATATCACCACCACGGAAGATGTCAGACCGGTCACGGAAATGTTGGACGACACGGAACCCATGATAGATTATAGAATATTGTTCACCACGGTTCCGCCAAGACCGATATTGCTTGATCCGGAACTGTCTGAAGAGGCGCTCAGAGTAATACCGCTGGAAAAGAGTCAGGAAAGCAAGAAAAAACCGATCGACAAAAAGGGATTCGACAAACACAAATACAAAAAAGAAAAAGACTTGAGTCTGGAGGATCAGAATGAAGATAACGTTTTGACAGAAAGATTCGATCAAACCATACTTTCCCAAACGGAACCATCGACGATTACGACTGCAGACCGTGAGGAACTGCATGACAGTGTGGTAAGCTCGGATATATACCCAAATGTACCCAGGTTCACCGTGGCTGACAAGGAAGGCAACATCGTGCCCATATCAAAATGGAAAGATACAGCTGCTAGAACCGAAAATAAAGATGTGATCGCAGAGACGAAGCCCAAAAATTATCCTAGCTTTATACCTGTGTCGGAAGAGATAATAGAGTCGGTACCAGTCACGGAGCCCTACGTAATCATGCGAAATTATACTCGTCCCATGATCATAATAAACGATGCGGAAAAAACGGCAGCAAATGAGACGACAGTCGAAGGTCAAACTAATGTAAGAGCAAACGAAACGACTGGACAAAACGCCACCTTTTTTTCAGATCAAGTATTCAGCGACCACGAAGAAGCGAAAGTAGATCACGTTACGGAAGAGTCGACTACACAAACTTCAACGTTGAAGGTGGAGAGCGAAAATACCACAGCTAGTAGTCCTTCGGAATTTCCATTTCCTGGAAGCCTCGTGAAATGCTCCACAAGTCAATTTCAATGCGTTAATGGAACGTCTAGGAACGGTGCGTATTGCGTCCCACAGTCTGCCAAATGCGACTCCGAAAATGATTGTTCCGACGGCTCGGATGAGTGGAACTGCACAGCAGAAGGTTGTTCGAGTAACTTCCGCTGCGCTAATGGACATTGTCTGAAGAGGCACCTTGTTTGCAACAAAATAGTAGATTGTGATGATGGCAGCGATGAGCATAACTGCGAGAACTGGCAGTGTCAGTCTGATGAATTTAGATGCCCAAACGGTAAGTATTGAGTACAATTGATATACAAAACGATATGCAAGAATAATAATAGAATGATGGAAAGTAATAAAGTTCCATATTCTTGATTATTTGTTAAGACTTTCAAAAGCTTTCTAATTTTGAATAAAATATTATTAGAATTTTATTACATACTTATACAAAAAGATTTAATAAATCGTGAGCATATCGCTAATGAATAAAATTTAATAATCACAATGATTGAGATATCTCGAATAATAATTCTTATCAGAATCACGATAGAATTATGAAATTTTACGATTGTAGGAAGATGCATTCCGGGATTATGGCAGTGCGATGGTCGGCCCGATTGCGAAGGACATCAGGACGAGTACAATTGCGCGGAAACTTGCGGAAACAATGAGTATCTGTGCCCAACGGAAAAGTGGTGCATCCCACAAGTGTGGCATTGCAACGGAGTTGCCGATTGCGTTAATGGGGAAGACGAAAAGTTATGCGACTGCGCCCTAGATCAATTCAAATGTCAAACCGGTGGATGCATCCCCCGGAACCAAATCTGTGACGGCATCGAGAATTGTCCGGATTATTCGGATGAATGGAGTTGCCTAATCACCAATATTACTACAGATCGAAATCTCACTAATGCGGAAACGGATAGCAACACGGCGAGCGAAGCGAATCGCGTGCCATTTTTGAAGATAAGGTACTTAGATCATACCAAATAAATATAATAAATTTATTGTTTGTTTTCCTGATTTCTAAATTATGTTTATTAATTCGAAACCACAATAACTGTACTATTTTATTAAAGAAAGAGAAAAAATAGTTCGATAAAATGTGAAACGCCTGTGCAAGTCTCCACAGTTGTTAGTGCGTAAAAAATTCAAATCAATAATTAAAACTTAAAATATTATCCAATATATTATATAAAAATGTGCAAATGTTTCGATCTTAGATTTGAATCCTCTCCAATGTAACAGTCAAAAAAGTATAATAATAAAAAGGTGAATAGGCTGTAATCTCTTCTCCTAGCAGTCTTCCAATGTCGAAAGCATCTAATAATAGGTCTGTTCGTGTTGCATGAAATCCCCAAATATTTTTACACTTAAAATGAGATATAGATATATATTTGACCTTTAAAAGAAAGAAAACGAAGATGCCGAATGGCAAAAGTGCAAGTAATGTGAACAGATCTAATAAAATGACGATCAAAATGAAAAAATAAAGCAAGAAGAGAGATTACGCTTTCCAAAGTGATGTAAAACCCCAAATAGCACACAGCACCTTATACCACAGAACGTTAAAAAAGCACTAAAAAAAAGTAGCACAGCAGCGCCTGTAAACGCTTTTACAGCTGCGCTATTTGGGATATAACGAGAAAAATAATTATAAATAATTATTTTAAAAAATCCTAATTTTTTTTTTAGATCGAAATATATTAATATGAGTATTAATAAGTATAACGTTTTAAGAAAAGAAAATTATAAAGACTTGTGCTTATATAAAAAAAAAGTTCTTGAAAATATTGGGAAACAATAAAAATAAATTTTTTAAAAATTAATAATAAGTATTTCATATTGCTTTGCAATATAAAAAAAGATATAAAATTTCGATGCAGACAATATAACGGCGACTATCAACTAGTCTGCTCGGATGGGTGGAGCGAAGAATTCAGCGATTCCTATTGTCAAGCTTTGGGATTCGCCGGATCTGACGAAACACTTGAATCGTTCGCGTGGGATAGAAGCCAGAAAATCCTAAGACTGAAGACAAACCCTAATTATCGCCTGCCGCTAGTCACGAACTTAGAGGAAGTGGGATTCTGCGTCTCAGACAAGGTTATGCAAGTATCGTGTCAGGAATTCACTTGTGGTCTGCACTATACGGAAGAATCGACTGCAAGATTAACAGATCCTCCTGAGCGATGGTCTAGTACGGCCTTGTTGAAAAAATCAGAAGATGGGACCGTTTGTACAGCCAGTATAATCGGCCCTGTGCATGCTCTAACTAGTTATTCCTGCATCTATAGGTAATTTGATACAGAAATGATTGTACGAATTTATTTATAAAGAGCAAGACAAATCATAAAAGATTAAAAATGCGTTTTCTTAAAAGGATCCTAAAGCCTGTATGTCCGACTAAATCGTAATTTTTGTATAATAATTACTTTTTTCCTCTTTTACAGATTTGAAAATCTTTTTCTAGGATTAAAGTATACGCATTAATACATGTCGGTGAGTTAGAGTTTATGCTGCGGACAAAAAATTTTTCTTAAAATTTCAATTTCGAAGATTTCAATTTTTTGTCGTTCTCGACATAAACTCCACCTCACATACATGTATTAATGCGTATACTTTAATAAAAGGATCTTCGAATCTGTAAAAAAGGAAAAAATTAAGTAATTGTTACACAAAAAAATTAGTCAGTAATACAGACGGCTTTAGAATTCTCTTAATCTCTGGTATAACAAAAATTTTTACGAAAAAGTAGAAAAAAAATTACACAGATTGAGACAAGATATCTTGGAAATTCTTAATTCTTTGTAGATATTCGTAGTGAGACATAAACGAGATTTGTCTATCTTAGATCGGAATCAGATTACGCATTGAAAATTGAGATTGTAGACTAAAAAATTGAAATTTATAACCAATCAAATCAATAAGAGCTAAAATTCCTTTGTCTTCACATTGGTTAAATTTCAGACTTCAATATTTTAATCTTTAATGTATATAATAAATCTGATTCCGATCTTAAAGGAATCCTAAAGCCGTCTGTATTACCGATTAAATCAATCTTTGTACAACAATTATTTTTTTCTTCTTTTACAGATTTGAAAATCCTTTTCCAGGATTAAAGTATACGCATTAATACGTGTCTGTGAGGTGGAGTTTATGCCGAGAACAACAAAAAATTTTTCTTAAAAGAACCCCACACTAATCCTATATGAAATTGGGTCGGTGAAATCAAATGGTGTTTTCTCATATGTTATCTGCTAAATAAAACATATAAGTCTTAGCGCAAAAAAATGAACAGTTTTCGTGTTCGATTCATCTACAGTCACTCTGACATCTCATTATACAATACTCAATAACTTCTAAACAGCTGACCTAAAATGGGTAAAATTATAGTGTTTTGGAAAGGCTTCAACAAGGACTATAAGAAAATGAAAGAAAAAGTAGGGAGTTTTACCTAAAAAATTTGAATTGACTTTGCCCTACCTTGGCGACACCACCCAAAGTCAAACTGATGAAGCCAGTGACTAGGTTTTTTTAAACACTACAACTTTTATCTAAAACATTTTTTTATAAAACTTATAGTTTTCCAGATATTTTGTCGTTTCGGAACATTTTATGTTCCTTATATGATTATATAAGGTTTATATGATTATATATGGTGCCACATATAATTATATCCCACATATAATTACATACTATCACATATAATATCTAAGATATATACACATGTATAAAACGATTCTTTGTTACAGAATATGTAGTGTAATTCCCAGGATCTGAATGATGAAAATAACTTAATAAATAATTAAGAAACAAAATGTGTGCATACGTACACACACACATGGGACAAACCTCTACCATGTTAATTACACTACATATTTTGTAACAACTTTTCAAAACACTAAAATTTTATCCATTTCAGCTAAAAATTATTGAGTATTTTATGGTGAGATGTCAGCGACTGTAAGTGAATCGAACACGAAAACTATTCATTTTTTTGCGCTAAAACTTATATATTTTATTTAGCAGATCAAGCTATAACATACGAGAAAATCATGATTTCACTGGGATTAAATTTCATGTAGGATTAGAGCGGGGGTCCTTTCAATTTCAAAATTTTTTTATCGTTCTCGGCATAAACTTCACACAGACACATATTAATGCGTATACTTTAATCCTGGAAAAGGATTTTCAAATCTGTAAAAGAGGAAAAAAATAATTGTTAAGTAAAAAAGTAATTGTTAAAGAAAAAAATAATTGTTAGTATTTTATAAACCGAAATAAAATTATAAGATCCCTGGCGGAAAAATTTTTATGAAAAACTGCATAGATTGAGACAAGATCTTAGTTAAAAATTCGTAATTAATTTTTCATAGATATTCATAATGAGACGTAGAGTGGTGTTGTTTGAAGACAAAGGATTTCTTGATTTTTCAAATAAACGACGTCACTCCCACTATATGAATATCTATAAAAATTAAACTGCGAAGATTTTGTCTCAATCCATACAGTTTTTCGTAAAAATTTTTCCATCAAGGATCTTATAATTTTATAAAATAGAATATTTTATTTTTGACATAATATGTAATACATTATTATTAACATACATAATTTTTTACACTTGATCTAGTAGGCACAAGGAAAAGAGTGGATGGCAGCTTTTCACCAATGGAATTATGTTAAAAGGAAACACCGTTAAAAATATCATCCCCTATCCTCGAGTGAAATATAATCAGTTCCTGTACAATAACGACATCGCTCTAATCGAATTAGGAGAGCCATTGGTATTTTCCAGAAACATTAGCGCCATATGTCTTCCCAGACAGCCTATCCAGGTACTTTCAATTAAATTCTCTGATAAGGCTATGTGTAGCTCATTATTTAATTAACACATTCCTGATCTCTGTATACATGATGATTTTTCAGCCGGAGCAAATTTGCGTAACGGTAGGATGGGCATTCCCTAGAAATGGGGAAATTAATTTACAACAATATCTCAAATTCATGCCTCGTCCATTGAATAATTCCGATAAGTGTAACGCCACGAGCCATTATGCAGGATTCATCACAAAACACGATATATGCATGGATAAAAACCCTTGTTACGTAAGTTTGACAAAAAATGCAATTTTTACATTTCTATAATTATTTTAAAGAAATAATAAAACTTTTAAGAAACTTCTGCGAATATACTCATCTCTTTAAGTAGGACATATAACACATATATTAATATTTACGCTTTAAACAAATTACATACACGTAAAAGTTGTATTCATAACATTCTGTTTTATTGAGCAACACATTTTTATAAATTATTTATTTTATTTGATATTAGTTTTATTGTTATAAACAAAATTTTTTAAATAATAATAAAAATCTAAATTTTTTTATATAAATATTTTAAATACTAAAAATGAACTTATGTAAAGTTTCATTGAGATTCACCAATTAGTTTATAACAAATAAATATTTTGTTTATTTACTGAACAATTAATGTCTCAATGTAACTTTACATAAATATTTTTGAATTCATAAAATACTTATATTAAAAAAATGAGATTTTTATCATTATTTTATAATACATTTTTATATATTTCTATTAAAGTACAAATTTTAAAAATATTACTTTTTATTGAAATAACTTTTGATCCGTATGATCATGACTGTCTCTAATTTTTTTGTGTTACTTTTAAATGCAATTTAGACTAATCTGTAATTTTTTCAAGTAATTCTTAACATATTGCCTTACAATCTTCTTAAATAATCATATTCAATTAATTCATTGTAATTATAAAATACACATCATTATCACGTAAATCGTAAATATGCAAAATTAACAAATTATTAAAAACTTAATTTTAATGCGTTGAGAAATTATAATTACATATTAATGGTAAATCAATTTGTGTTTTTAGAATGACGAAGGAACGCCACTGATGTGTGCCAGTGAATCGCAGGGTGCTCCGGGAAGATGGGAAATCCAGGGATTACTAAGTCATCGTAGAGAATGCTTGGGGAGTCATCCAGCAATTTACTCAAGCTTGGAACCAGCGCTCCCGTGGTTGCGCGAAACAGTGCCAGCTTTGCAGACGCAGAGCTAAATCATTGTCATAACAATTTATCGAAGATAAAGAAGCCGATACTTCACGTTAGACAAGAGAATCAGATAGTTTTAATAAGAAAAAGATCATAATTTTTTATATATAAAACTACGATAGAAGAAAAATTCGAATAGATCTCCCTAATTTTCTTTGTGCTTAAAAAAGTCCATATTCATTTACATTCGCGTCTTCTCTTTTTCCAATTTTAATGTTCCTATTGATAGCACGAAAGATATTTTAATAATTCTCGAATATCGCAACAGCAGTGAGTTATCATAAGAAAAACTTAAGCCTTTATTGTTACACGACAGATCGCAGGGAGAGTGAAAAATTCTAGAGAATTATGACACTTGTAATGAAAATCAAAGACAAAATTATACCGACTTATAATTAAGGAATCTTTGTGTAAATATTGTATAAAGTAATTGTTTATTATGGATAATGTGGTATAAGAATTTTTATTAGTTTAACGGTCTCTTAAAGACATTTCTACATTCTTGTATTCAAAATTACTACTTATTACTATTTACACAAAATTATTGCCCCACTTGAATTAAAAAATAATTTTTGTGATACATTTTGAATATTTCCAATACACTTTATATACACAATTGATAAGATATACCTATCTAATTATTTAATACAAGAGACCGATACATATGCATGTCCGATTACATACGAATCAATAGTTTGTCTCAGAGATCCTAAATAAGGATTTCTGAAATGAACAATGGATACAATTAAGCAATAGATAGGATAAATGTATATAATATATAACTATTTTTTAATAAAATGCATTGTTATAGAGATTAAACAACAAAGTATGTTTACACATATACGTAGTCATTGATGAATGCGTATTTTTATATATTTCGAGTAAAAATGGTAAATAAATGTATTTTAAACAATTCTGATATTTTCTTTCATCACTGATCAATCGCTTTTAAAATCCTTCTTTATAATAAATAAATTAAAAGATAAATGATAAAAATGATTTTGCATTATAAAAAAATCAAAGCAACAATATTAACATGTATTCATTAAAACATAATATGAATTAATCGATATTTAAATAAACCAAACAATTATCTCGTTAATTATCTGTCTGTTTCTTCGGCTTAGCTGCTACTTCTGCAGCTATAATTGCATTATCTAAAATAATTAATGATTCTGATATACTATTTATAACTGCATTATATTTAGACAGCAGATCATGTACATGAGCATCCAACTCTTTGGAATCTTTGTAAACTTCGAGATACGACAGTGACAGTTTGTTAAGTGTATTATTTAATTCGGGCGCATCTTTGATACGTTCTGATTCTAACACAGGCATGAGTTCCTGTACTTTGTTTAACAGCTTATGGTTCTCCATAATCTCTGGCTCCATTGTCAACAACAGCTGTGCTTTAGCATTGGTGGGCATGTCAACATCTTCACAAGTAGGCTCCAAATAGCCATTTAACTCCGGCAAACGTTTGATAAGTGCATTTGGTTTTTCTCTGCCTGATAATGCTGAGCTGATTAATGAATTGATGTCTGTGAGTCGATCGATGATAGCGTTTGGCGGTGCAGGATCATCAATATTCATCGTCTTACCAAGTCCATATACTTGTTTCTCTAAATTAGCAATTCTCTCTTCTAACAACTTGACGGACGACATCTCGAGAACTGAAATACAAAAGCACCCTTGTACAAACTGCCATTAAAGATTGATCTATAATTAGAGTTCTTTGCTTCCTGTTTCTTGCTTTTTACCACTTCTTAAGCCTATTCTACAATGTGCTCTTTGTTTCCTATCTCTTGCTTTTATCTTTTGCTTTTTTTTCCTTTTATACCAACCGTTTTATCAACAAATGTATTTTTTGCTACGTATTCCTTGATTCTTTCAAAATTCATTAACTTTTATCTCGAGCGATATAAAACAAAAAACTGGATAAGAAGCAAAAAGACAAGATATAAAAAATAACAAAAGGCAAGAAACAAGAAACAAAAAGTACATTGTAGAACAGGCTTTAGTCTAATCTATATATACAATGTACTCCTTACTTCTTGTTTCTTGCCTTTTACTTCTTCCTTTTTTTTCCTTTTATACACTTTAATTTGATTTTTTGTTATATGTTTCTTATCTCTTCAAAAATTTGTCAACTTTTATGTTTATCTCATACAACAGAAAATGAAGAAATAGGATAATAAATAAAAAAAACAAAAAATAAAAGGTAGTAAAAAGCAAGAGAAAGATTAAACATTGTAGATTAGACTTTTATACCTTGCCTCTTATTCTATTTTTTTTTTATTTTTTTGTTGTTTGAGATAAAAGTTGACGTACTTTGGAAGAGATAAGAAACATATATGATAATCTGAATAAAATAATCACAAAGAAGGAAAAAAGTAAGAAACAAGAAGCAAAGAGCATATTATAGATTAGATGCTTCAAAATACAAATAGTCAGATGAGTCGGTAGATGTATGTACGAGTCAGTTATTCTGATCTTTATTACCCTTAAAATTTATCTCTGTTATTTATGCAATTAATTAAATAGCACTCCTTGTTAATCAATCAAATTTCTTTAAAAAAAACTAAATTGTATTAATGTGATCGTTCACTGATAGTATATATTTACACAGTTTCAGTGTACGGAGTAAAATCTTCCTCGGAGAAGACGATTTTGGAGAATGTAACCTTAGCTATATTTTCAATAAACGGTCAAATAACAGAGAACACAAAAAGTTTAACTTACGGAAAATTCCCGTAAATTACACAATATTGTCAATAACTGAACCACTTACTTGTCGGCAAAAATCCAAGTAAACAGAGCCAGAATAAATTTGACAGAAGTCAACAAAGGTTAGAGGTTATTCTTATGCGTGGGTGGGGAACCTACTAAGCCATAGGGAAAAATATTGGAAAGGGTATTGATAAGTCACTAGAAGAAACAGGGCTTTCTGGTGATATCGCTGTTTTTCCCAGTTGCTTTCCTAACTTTCTCTCTGCCCCGAGCTACGGCAGGCTCCGGGAGTTGGCTATCTATTTTCTCAGGTGATCCGTGCCGCCACGCCAGCCAATCGCGCTCGAAGAAACCGTTACGAGTTTCCGTTGTGTATGCGTGTTTGAACGATCTAGTGCACATTTGTCATCTGCGTGCCGTGAACCACTCCCGTGTGCGGTGTTACCCGTGTTTTCGCGATCCTCGGTAAGTTGTGCACGGAACTCAGGGCGGACTGCGCCTTTGCGAGGTACGCGACCGAAGGAGACGGATTAGACGAGCAGGTGACGACGATGGCAGGTCACACGAGGTCACCCAAGCGGCGGTCGCGTGCATCGAAATCGCGAGAATAAAGAATGCCGAATATGTCGACCGCGACAATTTCGTAGCAAAAAAAGCGAATGGAATGCCGTCCGTCTCCTAGAGTTCGGTCGTCGGTCGTATTATTCGAGATCCCGCCCGTTGACCTTTATATCGAACAACGCGCCGAATTGCAATGCAATCGCGATTTTAACATTCCTCTATTCGCTAGGGACCGATAATAATTGTGATAACCTGCTCCTATGTTAATTTCTACGCCAGTATAGATTAACTTTAATCTCGGTTTAACTTACTTTTTATCTTCTTTTTGTCTTAAGAAACAGGAAAAGATAAAAAAAAAATAAGTGAAACCGAGATTAGAATTAATCTACATCGGTAAAAATGGACATCAGTCCAGAATTAAGGCTGATTACGGCTCGTTGCTATGCTAGCGTCTTGTTATTGCATCATTTGATATTGCTAAAATATGATAATACTTCAACACCTAATCTATTGTTCTATGCCTTCCAGTTAAAGCAAACTGAGCAACATGGCTGTTAATGTGTACGCTACAAACATGACATCGGACAATCTCAGTCGCCACGACATGCTGGCGTGGGTGAACGACTGTCTACAATCTTCGTTTACCAAGATCGAAGAGCTCTGCACTGGAGCTGTCTATTGTCAGTTTATGGACATGCTCTTCCCAGGCAGTGTACCTTTGAAAAGGGTCAAGTTCAAGACCAATCTGGAGCATGAGTATATACAGAATTTTAAAATTCTCCAAGGCGGCTTCAAAAAGATGAATGTGGATAAGGTAAGAAACTTCTGCTTTCTCCTTTCACTAGCTCTAACAAAATTGCTTTAAAAATAGGTCTATTTGCGTTGCTTGATCTTTAGGTACTTAGCATCTTTGCTTTTTCTCTCTTCAATACCTTTTAACATATATTTATTTTATTTTGAATACAAAAATTTTTGGAAGATTTTAAGCAACGCAAACAGACCTAATATGTGACAAGAGACTTATCCATAAAATGATTAAAATCCATAAAGATGATTTTAGACAAATATATAAAAGGTAAGCTGTTGTGATACGCGCGATATAAACTGCGATGTTACTTCAAGATCGCATTGCCCCGCATGTAATAGAATAACTTTGTGCAAGGCTCTGGATGAAATCATAATGATACGACCATGGAAATGGTTCAGGTAATACCAGTGGACAAGCTGATAAAAGGGCGCTTTCAAGATAACTTTGAGTTTCTACAGTGGTTCAAAAAGTTTTTTGACGCAAATTACGACGGACGTGAATATGACGCTTACGACGCGCGCGGTTGCATACCGCTAGGTTCTGGCGTGGATGGAACGCACACTTTATCGAATCCTCAGTTGGTACCTTTGCCACCACAATCGAAACAGCCGCAAATGCAACAAAGACATATACAGCAACGTAACATCGTCCCGCGGCAGCAACAGGGTATTGTTGCAGTCTCGATTTTACATGGCCGCTTCTTGCATGTGTTGTATGTTTAGATAATGATATTTTTGCAAGAGCGATACTACACGTGTATAGGCACATGCACATGCAATTTATAGTGCAATATTATATCTCAATTTATTTAAGCCACGTTATTTTAAACCTGTGTGCATAAACATGTTACAAGCTGTTTTTACAATGTTACATGCAAACACGCACACTTCATGTTACATGCACTCTTTAGTTTTACATGTCATTCAGATTTGAAAATATAATGCAAAAATATAATCTATAGAAGATGTACAGAAATATGTTGCATATATTTTAATTTAAATGTAAATTATTGATACATAGCGTTGAAATAATTTTTTTTCCTCTCTCTCTCTCTCTCTATATATATATATATATATATATGTATGTATATACATACATACATACATACATAAATACATACATACATAAATACATACATACATAAATACATACATACAAGGTGAATCTTAATCGTTATACCAACCGTTTTATCATGGGAGATGAATATTTTACTTTCTCTTTTCAATTGCAGTCGGTAATTCATCTCCCATAGTAAAAAAGTTGTTGGTATAGTTATTATGATTCACCATGTATTATTATGGCTGGTATTCATTCTCCATTTATCACAAGATCGTCTTAAGTAATATATTAAGACGCTAATACGATTCTGATTGATTCATGATATCTGGAGACTGTACTTAAAACAGTCTTTAATATAAGAATCGATTATAAGTACTAGCTTATGTATAATATATAGATACATAGAAGTATGCATAGATCAGGTTGTTTCACATTTTATCCTGATTTTGTACAGAGCGATAGGAAGAGTTCCAGGAGTGTTTATTTTAAATAATGTCGTAAAGGAAATTATTTTCTAATATTAAAATCGATTGATTTTAATATAGAACCGTGTTTATTAGAGATTCGTGTATATTTAATTTTGTTTTATTTTCTTTTGTTGCACACGTCTTCCACTCCTCCTTTGCAGATTGTGCCAATTGATAGGCTGGTGAAAGGCAGGTTCCAAGACAACTTTGAATTTTTGCAATGGTTCAAGAAATTCTTTGATGCAAACTACTCGGGAGCAGAGCCGTATGATGCGCTTGCTATGCGAGGAGGAGAGCCTATGGGTAGTGGCGGAAATAATGCACCTCGTGGTGGTTCTAACGCGAAACGTACTTCTCCACGTGACACAATAAGTTCGACTAAACCGGCTCCTCGTACTACTGGTACATCATTTAATAACTTTACTCTTTGATGCAAAAAATTTTGAATTTTAACATCATTAAAAAGAATGGAATCTCATAATATGAAGAGAGAATAGGTTTTTTTATAAATACAATTTGAAACTTGTACGTTAACACAGATTTTATACTAATCAATAATTGATATTGACTTGATTGCTTGATTATCCTTTGATACATGAAAATCTGATTGACCTTATATAGCAGGCAAGGTAAATATTACAGAATAAATACAAAGTCTGTAGGGGGATTAAATGATCTGACAAATCCATCTTGTAATTTTATAATAAGAGATCCGTGATATCAATTGACGTACTTTTCCTTGTATAAATATTTCAACAGGAGTTTCAATTATGGATTATATATAATATCCCTCAATAACTTGAAATAAAATTTGCCTTTAGGTGAGGGACATCCATCTACCATGCGTGCAGATAGTACAAACTCTTTAGGTGAAATTTAATATCTCTTTTTGTTTTTACTCTCGTTACTTGTATTTTGCTTCTCTAGCTCCGTACATGTTTTAATACTGAGGTATATGAGGAAAGTATAGAGTAAATTATGTGTGTGTAGTTTTTGTATTCATTGATTAAAATATTTGAATGAGTTTTATTAATACTGATTATCACAATTTATGAAAAAAATTTATTCTTTTTATTAAGTTATTAAGATACAAGAAAATTTGAAAAGTGACACATAATTAAGAATGAGATGTGTAACACAATATATTGTTCCCTCACTTTAATACAAGTACTATAATTTCCACTAACTTATGATAATCGTCTATGTCACTACTACTCTATAATGATTGTCACTATCAAAATTTACACTATATTATTATACAAATTAATAAGAGTGGATCACATTTCTTAGCACTTGCCTTGCAATTTTCTTTTATTATAAATAAGATATAAAGAATTTATTTCTATATACGTATATATATATTTCTGTAAAATTTATTTATTACGATTGTAAAATACACATCGTGCATGATTTTGAACTGTATTTCTGCATGCCTTGTTTTGCTTGCACAAAAAGCATGTATATTTTTATATATTTAAATAGCTTTCTTAATTTTTGAATAAATCATAAAAAAAATATTCTAATTTATGTTACAGAAGTATAAATACTTACTTATTATTTTAAGATACTATTTTAAAGTAATGTATTTTTATTCTTTATCTAGTAAATAAAGTTCAGCAGCCGTATCGTGCGCCTCCCAAAAACACAGTTGGCAATCGTGGCGATAACGGAAAAGTTGAGGAACTTAGTGCACAGGTATTGTATAACATCATATTTTTTTCAATAGACTTAAATATTTTTTATGTATCTTTTAACAAAAATTAATGAAATATCTTATTAGAAATTAAATGCTTATAACGATTGAAGTTGAATCTTTAATACTTAAATAATTTAATGTAAATATATATTTACTACATATGTACATGCATATATATATATATATATACATGTACCATATTTGTAGTCATTCGAATTGCGCGCCGAATTGGTTTTTCGGACTTATAAACGCAATTAAACTATTGTAATAATAATTTGATGCTCAATCAGGCATTATATTAGAAAGATATTAATGTGCTAAAAAACTGTAAATGATTATAAATTATGTCAAATGATTATAAATATAATATATATGCATGTATGTATATATATAATTTACATGAATTATTTAAGCATTAAAGATCCAGCTTCGACCGTTATAAACATTTGATTTCTAGTATTGATTGTATTCTTACATATGCGGTCTAAACTAAAGATTCTTAATATTGAAATATTTTAGTTGGTTGAACTGAAAATGTCAGTCGAAGGTCTGGAAAAGGAGAGAGATTTCTATTTTGGAAAATTACGTGACATAGAAGTCATGTGCCAAGACTGTGACAACGGCGGCGATCCTCCACCTATTGTACAGAAAATTTTAGAAGTTCTTTATGCAACAGAGGTAATTTAGATTGATATAATAATTCTGCAATTCTAAGAATTCCCTTGAATAAATGCTTTAATTTCTATTCGTCTTTTTTCAGGATGGTTTTGCACCACCTGAGGAATTGGAAGGTGATGGACTTGCGCCTGACGACGAGGAAGAATATTAACCTTTTTTATTTACGGATGTAATCGAAATGAACAACAGCAAATTATCCAAGTGCGTTTCAGTTTATCATGCCTGTGAGCCAGTATCATTACCCCTTGCATAATTATTACATAAGCTATTTTACATGAGCAAATTCAATATTCCCGTTTTTGCGCGGATTGTGCATACATTTTGTTAATAAAGTTCACTGAAATCATTAAGATTCGCACAACATTAGAATAGATTTAAGTTGAGTAGTGCACTTGAATAACTTGTTCTTTATTGGCCGTTGCTAAACGAGGGAAAGAAATGGAGAAAATTAGAGGAAAAAAATCAACTAGTAATCTATCACAAATTATTGCAATTCCTTATAGCGTTAAAATGATAGAGTTCCGAAGATCAATGGCTCTCGAATTGCCTCAAAAATTTATGTGGATACCGATGCCTATTAATGTTATCTGCATCCGTACTGTTACGTAGCGACTTACGTTAACTACACATTTTTTTAATGCGTGAGTGTTTTGTTTGTAATTGTATTAAGTTTGATTGATAATGAATCACGAAGCCCCCATCAATAATTTTGCCTTTTGAAATCTATAGTCATCTAAAACATTAGATCTATTGAGAAGTTCAAACAAAAACTGCTCAATTTGTTCCACTCGTTTTCTATGTGCAATATGACCGATGCATTCAATAGTTTCATGTGAAATACTAGATTTTCATCGTCAGCAAAATAATTTGGATATACATAATATTAATAATATTAAAAATTCAATTCCGCTTTGATATTCTATCTGCGTCTTACCAACATAGAAACTACTGCATAACATATTTGTAAGAACATAAACACCACGCGCATATAGTCCAGATATTTTGATTTCAATAAATTAAATGTGTGCGCTTCGTGAAGGCAGATTGCGAGACAAAATGGTACGCTTATGCGATTACTGACTTACAAAGATATGAAAAACTTGAAGTTAGAGCTGATATTGAAAGATTCATCTATTAATGTTTATCCCGTACAAATCGATTTTAGAAAAGAACCGATCATGTTTGCATCTCCATGACAGTCTCTCGGGATATAAGAATGGCCTTAAAACGCGGTGAATTTGAGATTCCGGTATAATACTCAGAATCGCACGAATAAACGCGAAATGTTTTTTTTTACAATTATATCGTACAGGCACCGTGAATTATGATGCTGCTATATCTCATTTTCGTTAAAAAAAAAAAAGAGTAAAATTCATACGTTCCGAGAGCAGAGGAATGAGAGGGACAACGAGCAAAAGAGTTACGGCATGTAGACGTTTTGCAAACGCTTACGTGTTTTTGACATGTGTGTGTGCTTTCAATATTATATTGGTTTCGACAGTCGAGATCAACATTGATTGTAGATGCGTCATAATCGAATTAATTTAAGCGAGAAGCGTCGTGACATAATTATCTAGAATGTAATTTGCATTACGTGCTACGTCTTTACTAAGTTCTAGCAAAAAAGAATACAGTTTAGCTTGCGCTCTAGCTGTTCATTCGCTCTGTATGCGCGCATATGTGCTTCAAAATTTAAAATTTTAATGCCGATATAATAAACGTTTAATAAAATCGACTCGATTGTTTTCGAATCCTCGAATGTATTCGAATATTTCGATATATTTGATACGCAGTGAAAATAACCTATGTAATTATAATTTTTTAATTGAAATTCGCGAGAGAAGGTCATACGAGAAAGAAAGAGAGAAAAGCCTTGAATGCTAAATTGCGATCGTGTAATTATCTAGTAGAATTAGAACCTTATAAGAAACAAAACTGTCTATCAGATATTACAAATTATCCGTTGTAAAAAATTAATTTTGATGTAATAAATGGGGCATAATTTTTTTTCATGTATTATTGCAAGATGTATATTAGAGGTATAAAGTATATATGTTAATAGCGATAAACAATGTGATTGTAAATCTCGTAATTAGCCAAGGGAAAAAAATTCATGAAGATGTGCTTCAAAGATTCACGAACAGTACTTGAAAAATTTTTATATTTAAATATTGCTAATAATAAGTATGAATATATTTTAACTTAATAATTTTTCCGCATTGATCATATGAAAAATTTATGATACTCTTCTGTCAGTAGATTTAAGATGAAATCTCATTTTCTTTTTTTAGCTACGGCAGATGCATTTCTTCGTACTGTTTTGATAGAAATATATTTTGTGGTGCATTTTTCTAATTAGTTCGCGTGTAATTTGGCGAGGAGATGCATCATGTTGCAGGCTTGATTTTCTTCTCTGAAATTTAAGTTCCAAAAATCACTATGGGCCCTTATATGTAAGGCGCCACTTACATGCTCTTAATTGTTGTTACGTTACTGTCCGTGAAACTTCTGCTTTCCCAATTCGTGCTCAACATCTCGCAGTCACGAAAGTGTCGGCTTGTTCGCGCGTGTTTGAGTATACAGCAGAAGTACAGCTTCCACGACAATCTCACAGAACATCGTTTCTAAGATATTGCAGCACGTGATTGCGACAAAGATCACAATTAGCAGTGGTAGCAACAATAGTTCTCTATCCAGTCTTTGTATTTGCAACGAGAGGTAATTAAAGTTAAAGGTTATAGACAGACAGATTGCAAAAATCATGCTTTGTATCCTCTGAAGAAACTTATCAATAACTGGTGGAAAAATTCTCTATTATTCTGTGCTTCAAACAGATTGTTATGCAATGTATTAAGAAAGATTATATGTATCAATTTTTATATAACTGAAAAAATCGATTATTTAATTAAGATTTTCCGTGATTTGATAAATAGCATTGAAATCAACTGGAGATTTATATATTGACCAGTGTATGATGCTATTTCAAAATCTGCCCTTTCTGACCCAAACATAAACATTCGATCGAATTATCTGTAAATTATCTGGTAAATTCAACGGTATGTTTTAACAAATAATTTAAAACGAATTCCATCGAATCAGTAATTTATCAACGGAGAAGAAATAAATGGTTTGCACCTATACGATTAATTTTAATTTTTATTATTTGTTTCTCTCTTAATTGTTGCGTTTGCACAAAAATTCGTCACTGTTATCAATTAATGATCAAATATTATAATATTTAATGCAATAAGAGAATGCCTTAGAAGATGCTTATAAATAATTTTTGCATAATTTTTTCTTTTAAAAATACGCTATTTATAAGATACACTTCGAAGAATAATAACCGATTTTATACTGTTATACATAATTTGTAGCAATCGGAATAGCTCCGTCCAAAGATCTGTTGAAATAGCATGGCTTCACATTCTTTCCAATTACTCACACGTATATGCAGACACGCTCACTTATATATTGGCAAAAAATCACCTTTTTCTGTTACATGTTTCTCTGTTATGTTGTCGATATAAGCAACACAAAGTTTGACGGTCAAGAAGACTGCTACACAAATCAAACGAAAACACACAATAAATGCCGAAAGAGACAAACATTAAGATAACGAAATGACTTGTACGAGTTAGTAAAAGTAGCGATAGAATTAGATTTTTATTAGACAGCACACAGACAATTCTTGGTTATCTCTCGGTAATGTAAACTTACTGTTGCTTAAGATATTATTCGATCATACTCTTCTTCTGTTGAAACTTTAAATTAAGGAGAGTACAACCAAAGAAAATTTTATGAACACTGTACAAAATGTTACATTACTAATGATATGTTTCTAATTTTTAAATTTTGCCCTCTAATCTCTCAACATTAAAAACTAGAGCGAATAGCTCCGAAAAACTTTAATTGCGCCTATTAATAATATTGACACTTCGCTAATCTAAAGTATTCTAAAGTTGAAGTTATGTTACATCACATTAATTGATTTAAAAATTTAATTATCGGTCAATCAAATTATTATATATTCATTAATAAATCCATTTAATTATTTTATATCCATTAGTCAATCCACACAATAAATTTTATATTATGAAGATTCAATACCAGAATTCAGAACAAATTGAAATTACGTAATTAAATACATCAACGTGCTTGTTTTAACGCACACATAATTTCCTAAATGCTTTTACCATTTTTCGTGACAAATTATTATATAATAATCTATTAATATATCGCGATCAGTCCATTTAACATTGATTTGACATGCGAGAGGAAAACATTAAATTGTCATTATCTGATAAATCACAAAATTTTGTATGCGGGAACATTTTCTTTGATAAAACTTAGTAATTTATTTATATATCATGTGTCGTGCAGCACTTTTCTGATGGGATTTTTAAAATTGTAGATGTGCTCAATCTCAGTAAAAATTGAATTAAATTAAATTCTATCATGAATACTTAGCAAAGATTATCTTCGTCTATAAGTTTGCAAAAAATTTTATCGCATTTCTGTAAATAAATCGATGCAGATAAATAAAAATATCTATCTGCGTCTATATTATTAAGCTATATCTTAAAGTTGGAAACATTATATAAAGTAATTTAAATTTCAACTTAATTATTTTTAAGTTTATTTTCTTTTCAATATATTTGAAAATAAAAAATTGATTTTGTTATAATCTTGTAACATAATCTTATAACTATATTTTATAATTTCTTGGAGATTACAAGAATTTCTGGATATCTTATACAAATTGTATACAAAATATATGTTTAAGCGAATGTAACTGCTTCAACAGAAATTGCACGCGTAGATTAATGCCGTGTAATAAAATCCGTAAAACTTTTAGATATATTTCAGTGAGACACTAAAATCGTTTGTGATTATATACATATATTGTGTTTTGCCATGAAAATAAGTCGTTATTTCTTTCGGCGTTCCACTCTGATAAACTAAGATTATGCCTTCCCGATAATATTATAATTTATTATATATATTATAATTTATTATTATCGCTTTCTTCATTGTCTATTTTGCATTTCTGAGTCATTAGGGCTTAACTTAAATTATTAAGATTTAACGGAAGAAATTTTTATTCATGCATTTCTGATCGCGAACTATCGTCAACAGATTGATCTCCGTATATACATAAGCATTATTCGAGTAAGCATTTACATTTTGTATATATATCTTTATTCAATATTTGCTTAGATGATAAAAATAAACGATCTATAATATTAAAAGTTACATCAATCTGTTATCGACAATCTCTGAATAAATATACTTTTATGTTTTCCGCCTCATAAAAGAAAAATTTATTTATAATAGAAAAAAAACCTTTTCTTGAATAATGATCGACTTATTTTCGCATATTATCCTATTTTTTGTTATATGCTCCAACAATTGTAATTTCTGATATTTCTTTTTTAAAGAAATCCGACGTTGTCGTAATCTTACTTTCGCCTTGGAATCAAATTAATAATTAAGGGTTCCTACAGACGTGCGACTTTGTAGCCCCATAATCGGAAAGCATCGACCCGTTCATACAGAGTTAAGGAGAAAAGTGTCGTGAATTTCAAAACAAACTACAAAGTCGCTTGTCTATAACAATCCTAAAGTGAACAAACCGTTTATGCGATTTTAAATGTCTTTCTAAGCATTGCCGGCTTCGACTGTGCAATTGTATTACACACTTATATGGTGCATTCGGGAAGAAGCTATTAGCTTCTGTCATTCTATCATCACTGTTTATTAGTAACAATGTAAAACAAAGATAGAATGATACAAATAGCATCTTCTCGCACCTACAGTCCCTTCGTTCATCTGTGCGACGTGGAAGGGTCGAAGTTGACTCAGTATCTGTAGAGGCGCTTCGTCAAATCCCCATTTCTATTTTGAGTGCATTGTCCTGATCATTCTTTTGTTACATCTTCGAGGTTCGAGGTGGCCAATGCATTGCATTCCAAGATTTTACGATTTATTCGATTTCGAAGATTATCCAGCGATCCAGTACCAACCAGTCAGGTTACAGAACCAGTAATAAGAAGAAAGGAAGAAGTCTTTCTAGACATTGATTTACTTCCGATACGGCAAGTTCATCAAAGTAAGCATATTAAAATTATATTTGTTAAGAAATATATCCGGATAAACGTCCGATTGATCGAGTAAATTATTGTTCACTCGTATCGTTTATAGACAGTCGACGAGACGCCACAAGAGGATTGTTTTTCGATAGAATTGAGATTGTTGCAATCATGTTACAAAGCAAATTAATAAGTCAGACAATACTAAAACATACGGATTATTTTCTGTCACTCGTGGAGAAGTGTATAGAATGGAGTCTGCCCGAACAGAATAGCGAAGGTGCGATTTACGAATCAATTATATTTTTTCGTCATTTTAACGATAAATGATGAAAAATATGTACTTTTCTCAACGACTGAATTGGATCTATATTTCAGATGAGAAAGAATCGGGAACAACGGAACTCGTGAGACCATTGCCATGGCTCTTATTCTTGCCGTGCTTAATGATATTACGTTTAATCAGAGTGATAGTTAATATAGGTGCTTTCTTGTTCAATTATCCTAAAATCACATCAAGTGAAATGGTATGCTATCTTCACAGTTTTAATATTCATATTGCTTAATCTTTACAATACAAAGTAAAATTTGATGCTTTATCCATCCAAACATATGGATCACTAGAATCCGTCTGTTTCAAAATAGTTCAAAAAATTTCTAAAATTCACCAACATACTTTCAAAATAAATAATTTAACTTCCTAAAATAAATATTAAAACTTTATTTTGAAAAATAAAATGTAGTATAATTTATTGAAAGATTCAAAGAAACTTGTAGGAACAAGAATCACTTGATCATTAGTGACCCGACCTTGTTTGGTAAGGGTTAATAAAAACTGTTAATTTCGAAAGAAAGTAATCAACAAAAACACTAAAAGTATTTAAAATGTTTATGGTTTAAAACATCTTTGCAAAACAAATTTTAATAATAAAATATTTCAATTTTAAACGTTTAAAATGTTTTAAATCCAAACACATAGTGTTTTATTTATTAAAAAAGTTTAATAACTCAAACATCTTTTAAGTGTTAAAAAAATTAAGATAAGAGTAAAACATTTTAATACTAAAATTAAACACTTATAAGTCCAAATTTTACAACACATTGATTTTTCCGTTATAAAATAAATATTTTCATAAAAAGTTATTTTATTTTTTGTTTTATTTCATTCGCGGTCAATTATTTTTTCTTTATTATTCAATTTATTATTATTTATTAAACACTTTTTCAGATAAAATTCGTGCAAAAACGTCGTAGGTATCTGCATGATGCAATGAAAAATGACAAGAAAGAAAGGTATAAGGTAAGATGTGCATTTTTTGCCAGTAGCGAATGCAACAATAAAGATAATAAAATTAACACGATAATAGTTTTGATGATGGGTATAGGACAAAAGATCGTCAATGAACGAGGTTCAATGAAGAAGGCCCTGATCAGGTCTATTTGTCTGACTTTGTCGAGCTTATCCTGCCTAAATATATCCAAACCTCCGTCACTACCGCCTAAAATTTATATTAATAGCAACCTCGATTTCGATCCAATAAATAAAATGGTATCTTATCCTGTGCAAACGTAAATCACATGTATCCAATTGTACAATTACTTGAAGATGTTATGATCCATCCATTCGAGTATTTCATTCAAGTGTTTTTTTACTGACATATTTTTTATAAATTTCTCTGAATTTCTTGGAGTGAAATTATCTCACTCCAAAAGAGTTAAAATACTGTGCCACTATTAAAAAAGAATGAAAACATTGCTTTCTTGAATAAGAATGGCAAATTTTCACTCTTTTTTTTTTT